ATTTGTTTGATGATCTGAAACATTAAAGTGTGACAAACATGCAAAAAAATAAGAAATCAGGAAGGGGGCCAACACTTTTTCACACCACTGTAATAACTAAACACACCTGATGACCTATAAAACAACTTTAGCTAGACATTTTGGCATTGATTGTGAAAGAAAATTCAGGTTATATACATTAAAAAAGCATAAGAATCCCCCCCCCCTCAGGTCCAGAATGCACAGGTCTGATCTCAGAGGGAGGTGAACTCAGCATCAGGAAACATTTTAAATTCCTGCCACCCCTGTCCCCACTCCTGCTGATCTCTCTCCAGCCGTGACTTAGCCTCTTTGAACTTTAGAATGATATGTGATTTGTGTTTCAGCACACAGAGGTCAGCCAACAGAGGTGACCTGAATTACTGCGAAACATGCTTTCTTACATTATCTTGAGTGATAAATGAAGACTGAAGCTATTAGTGATCAAGTAGAGCAAGTTATTCAGCTGGAATTAAGACCATTCCATAGATATCTGATTCTAAATGATTCTATGATTCTAATATATACAGCTGTAAGCCCCTGAACTCTGTCATCATTTGCTCACCCTCGTTCCAAAACTGTATGACTTTTTTTCTTCTGCAGAAAATAAAGATGACAGAACATAATAAATATTTAGATATAGAGAGATATTTAGATGTCTCTGGGGTTTTTTTTTTTGTATTTATTTATTTATTTATTTTTTATCCATGCAATGGAGGTAATTGCCTCATGTTAAAAGAAAAGAAAAGAAGTAATGCCTACAGGTATTAAATGAATTTTCTAGCATTGCTAACTTTTTTAATTTTACATTCTAAATACAAGCAATTGAAAAATATTTCCACACAATTCAGCATAATCTGACACGCACAAAAAATACAGCTGGATAGTAGTAGCACACTATAAAATATTCTGCAAATTATATTTTACCATGATTTGTCTTTGTTTTTTCACAGGTCACATCTCATATTTTATCTCAAGCATGTTCTTCACTCACATTGCTGTCTTCATGTAACCAAGAACAGAACTTTATTAGGGTCAAATTTGTTCGTTGTAATGGAACTTACACCATGTAATTAGTGTAAAAATGTATCATTTTTAAACAAATAATAATACTTATTCATGTAAAATATATTATATTTTACTCGGTTTAGTTTATCATAGTTGATCATCTAAAAATGTAATAATCTATACAATGCAAAAAACACTATATAGCAAAGATAAATTATGACAGTATTACAGTTTTAATGTGATCTTTTCATTTTTAAAGTCATACAACAAAGAAGAAGCTGAAATCTGTTACTTTCAATAAAAATCTACCCTGGGACATAAAAATGCATTCATTTGTGTTATTTCATAGTTTTGATGAATTTACTATTATTCTAGTAGCAATAATTCAGCAGATAATAAATGAACATTCCAAAGTACACGCTAGTAAACCTAAAGCTTATTTTGGAATTAGTCAAACCATTATAATGACTTTATTTGATCAGAACTCACATAGTAGTGAAGATAGTTTGAGATATAGTGCCCTCTAGGAATCAGTTTAGAGAATAGCATGTGATTTTGCAGCCAATATATGAGTCATATTCAGAGGCAGATGATTTCGAAAGGAAATAACTGATCATAACCAATCATTAAGACTTGAGTTAATCAACAGGCTTCATCAAAGCTTTTAAACATATGCAGTATAGATCCATGAAACAAGGCTTATTATCTTTACTTATTTACAAATTACAATGGGCAAATACAAATTTGCCCATTGGCCTCTGATCATCATGGCCTCCTAACAATCCTCATATCTGCTGATTGGCTTCATCACTCTGTCTCCTCTCCACCAATAAGCTGGTGTGTGGTGGGCGTTCTGGCGCACTATGGCTGCCGTCGCATCATCCAGGTGGATGCTGCACACTGGTGGTGGATGAGGAGATACCCCCTGACAATATAAAGCGCTTTGAGTACTTAGAAAAGCACTATATAAATGTAATTAATTATTATTATTATTATTATTACTTATCGCTTATAAACAGTATGGCATTCGTAGATACTACAATAGGGATTTCGCCTAGGGCGTCAAATTGGCTAGAAACGGCCCTGCTTGCATGCATTAGCTCTGAAATGTAAGGACACAGAAATATTGACCCTCATACATGCTCTGTAACATCTCCTCCAGCTTGCCTGTCCTGTGCCATTGGCTTGGCATGACTTTGCCATGGCAGTCTGCTAACCACAAAATATCCACAAAGACTTCAGTCATAACGTGCCAAGAGAGAAACAGCACACCCGACTGGAGCATGCTTATGAAAATGCAAACACAAACCACACTGTACACATGTAAGCAGTATTTTGACTGGTTGTCAGTGTAAATAGAATTTATGCTGACTGGAAATTGTATGCAAACTTGTGAAGAAAACATTGAGAAGAGTGAGGAAGTACTAGAGATGAATGAAGAAGATTAGTGTAAGGAATTATGGATGCATAACCCTAAATATACTGAATGAGATCCAGACATTGATTATTTTAACCCTACATAATTTAGCAACAAGATTGGATTCCATTGTTTCATTCCAAGCACTGCAGTTATGGTAATTAGGTGGATCCTCTATGCTGTATCTTTGGATGTGAAGAAACTTTTCTTTTTTTTTTTTTTCAGTCAGTCTGCACTGCCTGCTGGGTTACAAAGTAAAATTCCAAAAAGCACTGGAAGTTTTCTTCATTTCCTTCTGTTTAAATGGAAAAGAAATCTGGCAGTCAATGGCAGTCTACAGTGTTTCAGGGAAGAGAATAACATAAACGCCCCTTCAAAAACACTCCAGCTCAGGCTCAAAGCAATACTTTCAGAGTTAAGTCAGTGTTTATCAAAAACTACTGCAAACTAGTCTGCAAAGAAAATTCAAAGGACTCAGGGAAGGGGTATCAAATCCTGCATATGGGTCAATGACACACCAGGTTCACTTTGGTATCCTAAACAAATCTGAGTATAACTGAATAGTTTGCCAATAAAATTACTCCTAATGATTTAAACATAATTTTTATATATAATTTTTTTAAAATATTTTTATGTACTGAAATTTAATTTGTAAATTTTTTAAACAATGTTAGATGTTAACATTTTGGTGGTTATGTTTGCATTAAGAAATTTAAAAAGCATACAGAACAATAATAATATTATACATTATATAAGTTATAACCAAAATTATGGCTGATGATTTAAAAACTTTTTCTTGAGAATTTACAATTGAAAACATTATTCCTGAAAGAGGTGAAATATGAATCAACATTTTGTGTAAACTATTACTGTGGTCCATATGACATTTTCAGTGAAAGTGACGTGTATGGTGTCCCATACTCGGAATTTGTGCTCTGCATTTATCCCATCCAAGTGCACACACACAGCAGTGAGTAGTGAACAAACACACACACACACACACACACCATGAACACACACATGGAGCAGTGGGGAGCCATTTTTGCTGTGGCGCCCAGGGAGCAGTTGGGGGTTTGGTGCCTTGCTCAAGGGTTTCAACTCAGTCGTGGTATTGAGGATGGAAGAGAGCGCTGTACATTCACTCCCCCCACCTACAATAGAGACTCAATCCCGCGACCTTTGGGTTACAAGTCCGACTAAGCCACGACTGCCTTCAGTGACTATATTCAATAATTAAAAAAAAAAAAATTTTTAAAAATCGACAAAGTGTAAAAATGGTTACCTTGTGCTTTTTTCTTTTTTTTCTTTCAATACAAAACATAGAGAGCTTTTAAAATTATATATTAAACAAAGTAATTGTTTAATAAATGAAAATTATTATTTTAAAGCATTAAGTATAAAATAATGTTACATCAAATAATAACATAACCTTGCTTTTGTGATTGTTATGGTTGATTTGAGTGCTAGGGGGCACTCTGACTTTACAGAGCTTCATAGACCTAAACACTGTCTCGGTCTCAACACAGTGGTGGTATTGAGGATGGAAGAGAGCGCTGTACATTCACTCCCCCCACCTACAATAGAGACTCAATCCCGCGACCTTTGGGTTACAAGTCCGACTCTCTAACCATTAAGCCACGACTGCCTTCAGTGACTATATTCAATAATTAAAAAAAATAAATAAATAAATAAATCGACAAAGTGTAAAAATGGTTACCTTGTGCTTTTTTCTTTTTTTTCTTTCAATACAAAACATAGAGAGCTTTTAAAATTATATATTAAACAAAGTAATTGTTTAATAAATGAAAATTATTATTTTAAAGCATTAAGTATAAAATAATGTTACATCAAATAATAACATAACCTTGCTTTTGTGATTGTTATGGTTGATTTGAGTGCTAGGGGGCACTCTGACTTTACAGAGCTTCATAGACCTAAACACTGTCTCATCCCTGTGGAAGGGCTTTGAAGTGTTGAGCTCAAGCTATCTTAACTAAACTACTCTCTCTCTCTCTCTCTTTCTCTCTCCCCCTCCTTTCTTCTCTCCTACTCGAACAGGGTCTGTTTGGCTCCCCAGGCCCCCTCCAGCTGTCTGAATGTAACCATTGCTCTCTGTGCTAGATGTTCCAGAGCTGACTGCTGTGCAGGGCATGTCTGCAAAAAGAAAATATACCGCCTTCAAACATACTCCCCTTTCTCACAGGCTCAATGACGTGATATTACAGATCATCAGTCAGTGGCCTGAGGCTGTTTATGTAACAGTATATGGTTTGCATAAGCATTACCATATGATTCAACATCAGTTGTATATTACTCAAAATCAAGCTCTGGAGGAGTAAGTCACATTAAATAAACAACAGGATTTCTATCCACACATTATGTGATGGTACTAAGTTTAAAAGATTTTAAATCACATCAGCTTTGTCTGTAAAGATTGCCCTTTCTACTCTGCCAGCACACATGTTTCTAACAAATGTTGTGCAGTGGTTAGACTCCAACCATAAGCTTCCGAGACAGGTTGGAAAAAAGGAGTGAGAATAAGCTGTATGGAAGAAAAGGCCATCGCTGAGTGAGGAAGGTTTCAGTAGCCGGGTAAAGCTCGTCAGGTTGCCCCGTTTAAACGTCTACAGAGATAATCTCGACAAATCTACCGTTCAGAGGCTCTTCTAACTGAAATTGGTCGGGCAAGAGAGGCAAAAGGTATGCACATTCCTCTTGCATATGTAGATGATGCATGTGTTTGCAACGTGACGAAAGAGAATGGAAGAAAATCTTTGGAAACTAGCATTTTTAGCCTCTTGCAAATTGATATAGAGAAATAGAGATTATTTGGACATTAAGTCATATTTGGAACAATATTATAATTAAATAAGCAAGAAAGCAAAAGCTCTGCTGCTGTAACTTACATAAAAGCCATTGTTTTATATATATCTTTCTCTAAGCAGTACGTGTGGAAGCTTTTAGTTATTGCAATTAGAAGAAAAGAAGCTTCATGAGTAGTTTGAAAAATAAACTTCATCAAGGGTTCAAAGTTATACGCTGTTTCTGTTTCATTTAGGCAGGTGGACGAATGGATATCAGCTCAATTTTCTTGTTACTCTCAGTGTGTGGGACAACTTGGGCCTTCACACTGGACTTGGACTATGGAGGTGTACCACTCTGGATCAACCGTTTTTTGGGAGAGCCGAGTGTGTTGACTTTGAAAGATCGGATGGATCCCGGATGGTTTCGTGCTGTTAACACACAAAGTTGTCCTTTGGAGTGTGACTGCCCTATCCAGTGGCCAACAGCTCTTTATTGTGACCACAGGGGCCTTACCCAGCTTCCCTCTGGCCTTCCGTCCCACACACAGTACATGTTTCTCCAAGGGAATAATATAACTATCCTTGGATCCAGATCGCTCGCCAATGCCACAAACTTGCGCTGGTTGATCTTGGATCGCAATCAGCTACTGAGTGAACAACTCTTTACCCGCTTGGTAAATCTTTTCATAAATAATAATAACCTGACAAGGGTGCCAGTCGGACTGCCTAGTGGAATTAAGCAGCTGCGACTCGCATATAATCGCATCGAAAAAATTTCTGAAGGTGCTTTCCAAAATCTGGACAATTTAACATTACTTTTGTTACAAGGTAATCGTCTGACGACTATTGAAGAGGGCGACTTAAAAGGTATTCTTTGGTTTTTATATTTTTTAATTAATCTTTCAGAAGATAAATCTAGAGATGCACTGATATTAAAAATACGGTATAAAATCAATATTTATTTTGAGATTTGCTAGAAATGAAACTATAATGATAAACATCAATTAATAAATAAATAAAATGAAATATATCTCTAATATCTGATCTGATAACTGATATGGGGCCGATAGTTTGCATCTCTACATAAATTATCAGGAAGCATTACCAAAGTTAATAATTTCGTAAACTCTAAGCGTTATCATGTTCTTCACCAGGTCTTGGAGTCCTCAACCTCCTGGATCTTAGTCACAACCTCCTGGAGACTTTTCCCAAACATCTGCCTCCATCTGTCCAGCAGCTTTACCTCTCCAACAACTCTCTGACTGGCCTGACCGGAAACAGCCTTCATGGTTTTAATGGACTCCGTTATCTACGGCTCGGACACAACAAATTGAGGAATGAAGGGCTTGACCCTGGTGCATTTAACCTCACATCTCTGGTAGAGCTGGATCTTTCGTATAATCAGCTGACAGAAATCCCAACAGTTCCCACCACCCTTCAGTACCTCTACCTTGAGGTTAACGATATCCAAGGTGAGTTGTTGCAAGGTTCTCGATTTTACACATACAAAAGCACTGAGGTTTATTCTTTAGCACTGCACTGAGGAGAAAACAGCGCTGCTGTAAATTTCAATGTGACACAGGAAAATTCTCAGTCCATGAGAGCGTTTCATGCCGAGTTTAATGACAGAATAACTGTGAAAAGGCACAAGACAGAGAACCTTATTTTTTTAGACATTCTCGTGCTGATGTTACATTAACAAAACATTCAGCAGATTGCTCCAACAGAACTTGGAGAGAATATGACACTTAAATCTTACTGCAGGTTTTCAAGAGACAAGATGTTTATAGTGGAAATAAAGCACTGCTTGGCAGACTTCAGGAAACCATGGATTGGTTTTGATCCACAAAATCACTTCAATGTGGCAAACTACACAATTTCATTATCATTTGAGAACTAGCATTATGTGAATTTGAATTGAAACACTAGACTTTTGGAATTTGAAGTGGTATTAAAGAAAGTGGTATTCCTGGGAACAAAGTGTTCATCTATCCTGGTCTATACATTCATTAAATATAAAGAAGTATTTCAAACAGACGAGGACAAACAGAAAAGGTCGATACAACTTTTTTCAGCTTTCAAAACTTTTAGACAAGACTTGAATTTCACTTTATTTTAATTATACTTAAATTCAAATGACAATTCTGCATTCTACAGCATTTGCAAATTCAAATTAAATTCAAATTCTAGAACAGAACTGAAATTTAAGAAACATTTAAATCCTTCACAAATCTTCCTGGAATGCTAAACACAAATCTGTAAGCTTGCCAAACGCTTAACTGAGAACTGCTCAAATGTTTGTGTCCTGATCAACGGTCTTAAAGAATGAGGCTCTGTTCTCAGGCTGATGAAATAATCCCTGGCACGAGAGAATCAACATTCAGACCCGGATGGGCCATGGGAAAAATGACGGAAAATGTGACAGGATTTTAGAAGAGAAATAACAAACTTTTCCTCCTCACTCTCCTTTTCCCCCCTTTCCCGCTCTCTAATTGTCACAACATGTTTGCAGACAGACACATCCTGGAGAGACACAAGTTGCCTCGAAAAAGTAGGTTAGCTGAAAGAGAAGGATGGAGAGAAGAAAGAAGGAAGGTTTGAGAACATCTGTGAATACTCCAAAAGGAATCCACATGTGCTAAAAGCACGCTCTGTTCTCTCCCCCTCCTCCTCAGCAGCACGCCGAGCTTAGTTACAAGAGCTGTGCCTCTGGTGGACAGCAAAGACTTCAGCAGACTTTCTTTTTTTTTTCAAGCAATGGTCATGATTCATGACTTTGAACCACACAACAAATCCTCATGCCAATAACAGTGGTTTACCAGCTCAAAATTAAGTATAATATTCTAATTATTCACAAGCCACTATTAAAAATTACAGAACAGATGAATGGTATATTATAACCTATAAGTGGAGGTTAGGAAAAAGTTAAACAACCTGTCAGATCTACCTTCAGAAAACAAATGGAAAGAATGTAAAAGAGAATGTATTGATTAATAATGGCATTAATAGTGGTTTACCAGCTCAAAGTAAAGTACTATATTCTAATAATTAACAAGCTACTATTGAAAATGGTAAAACTGGTATACTGGTATATTATAACCTTGGAGTGGAGGTTAGGAAAAGGTTAAACAACCTGTCGGCTCTACCTTGAGAAAACAAATGGAAAGAATGTAATAGAGAATGTATTGACCAGCCCCATTCAAAGGGCTCCAGTCTGAGAGTGGAGACGCTGTGATTTATTTATTTATTTTTTTGCATAGATCTCCTGAAAATGTGATAATAATAGTATTATTGCTGGTCTTCTAGGTAGAGGAGTGGAAACAAGCTACAAAAATAGTTACACACCTTAAGTGCTTTGTAAACACATATATTGATTCTTTGTGCTGAGAAAAGTCTTAATGTCACCAGAGATAAATCATAGTCTTTCAGTTTAAGACTCCTAACTACAAGCTTAGCATTAACAGCCCAGATGCCTAACTATTATGCTAGCATCACAATCAGTATCTAAATCAAGATGAGACAGATCTGCCCACTACAGGTTTCCTCTTGTGTTCTCACTAACACTGAAGGTGCCAATGGCAGCACACCTGTAACTTATTTACATGGTACTGGGAAGCAGCTCCTCCTGTTTATGAGGGCTGTCGTTTGACTGTGGTGTGTGATCTAGTGAAGGATTAACGTCGGCTGCAAATTCTCTGAAGCAGCATGTCACATCAATCGCTTGAATATGTTGACCTCATTGTCTTGCTATCTCTGTCTTCAGTAAACAGTGGAAGCGGTAAAACAGTGCCAATACTTCAAAACAGACAGACAGACAGACAGTTGGGAGTAGCAGACAGCTTAACAATCTCAACCTGCTTGATAAAGTAACTTACTATGAAATTCAAGTGGGACAAATGGGAAAATATGTAAAATAAATAAATCACCTTTCAGGAGTGATGATGATGACGAGAATGCGTAACAATAACACTGCCATACTGGTTAAATAATTAAAAATATATATATAGCAAACAAATATATGGTTCTATGTTTGATCATGTGACATATGTTTGACCATAAGACAAAAAACGCTACGTGCCAACAAAATTCTAATAACCGATCTGTTATGTCTTCCAGAGTTCAACGTGAGCAGTTTCTGCAGGACAACAGGACCCACATCATATTCACGTATGAAGATTCTGAGGCTGGACGGTAATAAATTGGAGTATCACAAGCTGCCCCCTGATTGGGTGTTCTGTCTACGTGTCCTCCATAACATTTATATTTGATCTAATATAAGCAGTCAATGTCTTAAGCAGCTCTCCATTTTTAGGCTTTCTGAACACTTAGCATGCAAGCATGCAATGATATATTATATTATATTATATTATAACACATATGTATATTTAGAGTAGCCTACATTAGAAAGCATGACAGCAGAATAAACTGTTCAGTATTCGAGGTGCTGATGTTTTGAATTTGAAGAATGCTGTAAATGGTCTTATACTGTTTTAATATGAAACAGTATTTATTAATGCTGTTTTAATCTGGAAGTACTGTATATGAGCAGTCATATTTTATTTTGATTTCACCTTGTTCTAGTCTTGACTTCACATGTTCTAAGTACATAATTAGAATTAATCTAACTGTTAAACATGTGGATACACACTACTGTTCAAAGTTTGGAGGTTTTTTCTTTTTCTTTTTTTTTAGTTCAGCAAGGTTGCATTAAATCGACCAAAAGTGACAGTAAAGGCATTTAGTATCAAGGTTTTTACAAAAACACCAAATCACCTAATATTTCAAGACTGGAGAAATGGCTGCTGACAATTTGGCTTTGCCATCGCAGCAATAAATTACATTTTAAAATATATTAACATAGAAAAGTCATTTTATATTGTAATTGTTCACAATATGACTGTTTTTCCTTTTTTTTCCACAAATGTATGCTTGGTGAACATAAGAGACTTCAAAAACATTACAAAATCTTACCAACCCCAAACTTTTAAATGGTACCTATATAGTCTGTTACCTATAGTCTGGAAAAAAGTTATTATTCCATCACTGTGGCACCTCTTGTAAGATTTCAATGTATTTTCCCCAAACGCTTAAAAATGAAGTTCTAAGATTCCAATCAAAATAAAAACCCTTGGTGTCAAATTATATTGACAGTGTAACTATTTTCATCTGTGTTCTACAGCAGTTTAGTTTTAGTTTCCTCTGTCTGTTTTAACTGGAATTTTATGGAACTGAACTAGAACTGAAATAAATTTTCATATCATATAATAACTCACAGCTCTGGTGCATGTTCTGGTCTGGCAATTTTGTCATGAAAGAAAAGCGGTATTCACAACGTCCCTCTTAATACACTGCAGTACTATCAATGCTATCAGGGACACTGCTTCTGCCAAGGCTGAAAAAGCTTTGTGAATTAATCCAAGAGCATAAGACAATGTCTATGTATGTATTTTGTGAAAAGCACTTCTGAACTACCGATCTTTGGACACAAACATTCTATTGTGTGACATAAAAAACAATCGCAGGTCCCTCAGTGAGTATCCATGAGCAAAATTAGTTTAGCCAAAACCAAAATTGGCCTCTAAAGAAATGATGCAATGATAGAGAGTGACATGCCTTGGCGTTTTTTGTTTCTTGTATAATGTATAGATGAATATATTAACAGTGTCATATTTGGCTGCCTCAGGATGCTGTTAACTCAGGTTAACAGTGTCCTAACCAAACGTAGGACACGATAGTCATATAAGAGAGTAAAGTCAACTACATTTTCAGCAGAAGAGCTCATTCTCACCAGTCCAAAGGAATAAAAAGTAAATAACACAATGCTCAAACTAAACTCTCTTTTTGCACAATAGCCCTGTCACAAGTCCTACTTGTGTTGGATCAAAAAACATTTTCCCAAAAACCTAATGTTTGATCTATAAATCCAAAGAAATGACTACTCCATATCTAAAAGATTGCGAGTTAATGGACCATGTGTTCAAGATGCCGTAACTCCCTCTGGGATCACCACTAAGATTTTTTTTTTTTTTTTTTTTGCAAATGCAGAGCAGCAGCCCCAGATCAGCCTGGTTTGGACTTCACATTCTCCATTAGCATAGCCATGACAACACAAAGAGCTCGAAGCAGGAGGATTATAATCACATAATGTTTGTTTATCTCAAAGCAAAGCCATTATATATATAAATTGCTTTAATCAAAATAATAAAATGTACAGCATTTTCAGATAGCTAAAATGCATACACCAGCCAAAACACAGCCAGACAGTTTGCTTTAGAGGCTCATGGGAAATTAATATATCATATATAGCTGTGTTATGGTAAAGTCATTAGTGAGGCAAAAGACAGATTCATATCACCTAAGAAGGAAGAGATGGTCCCACGACAGTCTCAGAAACAGCGGCCCTACTGGAGCATATTTTAGCAGTGGTTGTTAAAACTGCCTATGAGGGCAATTAAATATGTATTGAGTGCCATACAGGCACAATAAATACATGCTTTCTTTGGTTAATCAAATAACTAGAAATCCACATATTAAACAATGCTGTTCAAATGTAAATCAGTCAGCCACAATGCATTAAAAGAAACTGCAACAGAGTCTTTAAGCACAAAAGGCTCCAAGATTTGAGGCACAAACATCCATCAGGTCAGTTCATCCATCTGGCCCAAAGAATATCATAGAAAAAAGGTACATCAATAAAAAATCTGTCCAAAGTAAATATTCAAGAAACAATCAAACACATGTGTTCCAAATAAACCTATTCAAAATGTTTGGATTTGTTTGTTTGTTAGTTAGCTTTGACAAAGCCATTCGTAGGCAATGCAGTAGCAACACTTAAGAGATTTTCCTTCAATATACAAAAAGGAATAAGTCCTAGGACCAAACAGGCTCATAACAAAGCAAAACGGCATTCTTCTAGAAATGTTGTTTCTGGTTATCCCCTTCACGGTGTAAAACTGACTGAAACTGAACTGCTTTTCAGTTTTGTTTGGTTTTTGTACTCCACCTAAACATCCATTTTGTTTGACTGATATGATATACAGACCAGCGAGTATTGCGAGTATGATATAGTTTTTTTATATTTTATGCAATTAAACAGAGTAACTTGCATATTTAGACACACTATTTTGTCTATTTTTGCTCTGCCAATGAAAATAGTTCCAAACAAAGCCACAGTATAATCAAACGATAAATTAGTGACTTAAATGAATTCACTTAAATGAATCAGTGTTTTTGATTGAAACAGCTGAGTGGCTGATTCAGTGACTCACTCATGTTTTGTCCATGAATGAATCAGCAAGTTTAAACAAATCGGTTGAGTGAATGATTAAGTGATTCACTCATAAATAGTTTTGTCGCCACCTACTGGAGAAATTATGTAACCTAAAGAAAGAGTCACTGAACAGAGATACAGAGAAATATTATTATTATTATAAAAGTGCCAGACTTTCTGTCTTAAAGGGGCATATTTATGCCAGTCGGCTACAATACTAACTACACAATAATTGCAGCATAATAATCTATAAATTAAATTTACCCTCTAACGTATGTCAAATCTTGCACTGACCCTGCTGCATTTTCACACATTCTGTTATGAATGGAGCAGGTATAATGAGCTCTATCCTTATTTACTTGGCCCACTTCCCAGAAAAACTCAGTCTGATTAACCCTTCAGGAGTGATTACTTATACACAGTAGGAGACTGCTCTGATATTTTGCTGAGTTCACATTCTCTACCCAGAGGGTTTGCCAAGTTTTGGTGGTTATTGGTGTCAGGCCCTCTGGGTGGGAGAAAGAGCTTGGTAAGCAAAGATCCTAATGAATCTCAGTCTGATTACATCAACCAGACCTCCACCATAAACATCATCAAAATGCGCATGATGGCCATCACAACTGCATTACCAGTCTGGCGCTTAATTAAATAATTAATTCAAAAGCTGGGTGGTGAAACTGTTTGTGACACATTGATAAGCATCTGCTTCTAGTCCAAAAAATTTTGTTCTGGGTGGCAGAATTACAAGGAGTAAGTCTTGATGGTTTGTTAAGCATGATGTAATAGAATTAAATAAAAATTAAATGCACATTTTTATGTCAATATAAGAAGCATAAGTTGCACCCCAATGATTGTGATGTTCACACATACTGTGCGCCTGAGCCTGCACATCTGTCAATCATTTGTGTCCGTCTGTGAATGTGTGTAAGCACACATAATAAAATCAACCCAGATGGCGAAGAACAATGTGAGTGAATTTGCTTCAGATGCTCATGGTCATTTCAACTTTGCAACATACATATGACCAACCTTGATTGTTTTCACTCTGCGCCAAACGATTAAGCTCTTGACAATAAATCTTAAAGCATGTAATTAAGCTTGATATGCAAATAAATTTAAGCTGTAATAGGAAGGAAAGACATTTCCTTGCCAAAAGGGTACTCCAGTTTCACCCTTTCCAGCCTTTTACTTTTAATTAACAACAAACTTTGGGTTTGCCCCAGATGACAATGATACTGCTTAAAATAATGTAGTCTTGGCAGAGATATATTGTTGTGCCATACATAAAATCTGACCTAAATTATCTCACAAGGTATCAGAGTAAATATCACAATGACTCATGTACAGTACTCAGTAAGAGCCATTACGACACATGCAAAAACTCACCCATTATAACACTGATGTAATGATGATTGAGAGAGACCAGCCTGTGGCTGAATACTGAGGTCATTCTAAACATTATTGATAATGTCATGCACTCAGTTTGAGTGAATGAGTTTTAAGATTTGAGATGAAAAGGGACAACACCCTAACAAAAGATCGCACAACATATGAAAGTGATCTTCCTAAAAACAGAAATGGACCAGCACCAGAGACACGTCTCTGAACACAAAATAAATGCAAATCAAAGTGTCCAATGAGTTTACTTAGAAAGTACGGCAAATTATTTCTCATCTATTGATAATTTATTGATTATAAATTATTATGTGCATGTGATAGCTAATATAGGGGGTTATTTGTGGTGGGTTATAATGGGCCGCTATAGGTCTCTGGGCTGTTTAAGAGCTCCAGTCAATCCCTGAATGAAGTTCACCACAATTACAGCCCGCGAATCTATGATTCTAATTTAGCACATATGTGCAAATCTGGGACATTGCCAGTGATCTCAGAGGAAGACAACACTAAACAGTCCTTTTAAAACCTGTAAATGATTGAGTGCTGCAGCTCTTAAGACTTACAATTCTAAAACACCATATATCACAGATGTTGTTACTCCAGATGTTGAAGTCCTTTGGGGTTTAAAATATAAGCATGGGTCTGACCTCACAGTGTAAATGTGCAATTGTGTGTGAGGGAGATGAATAGGTTTCAATGGGAGTAAGAACCATGTTTTTCACATTTCGTCACCACTGCTCTGCAGCTGCAGCTCTCTGCACAAAGCTTGAAAGCACAAGAAAGAGAGAAAAAGTAAGTGTGAGAGAGATTACCTAAAACCTAGAGCACTTAGAATCACAAAAGTCAGACAATCCCAAATAAGGGAGCTCACGTGATAATTTTTTTTACTTGAGAGAAAATCAGGCATACACCACACAAGTATGCAAAAGAAAAAAAAAGGAAGCTGTCCAGTACTCTGTGGTTCTAAACTAAATAAAAAGCACATGATTTTGATGAAGTATCCCAAGGATCCGCATGATCGGGCAGAGGATGGTGTTGGAAAGAATTCTGACCCCACGCTTTCTGTATTGATCTCCACCCCATCCCACTGGCCCTGTAGTCCTCGATACACACCCATTTACATGCATCAGTGTGTACAGCAGTGGACAACAGATCCTGGTGTTAAGGGATGGATGTTTCGATTTAATTTGAGCCACTTTCCCTGAAGGCGGGGCAGGGAGACAGAGTTGTTGACCTTCACAAGGAAAAGAGGGAAAGACCCAATAGGCAGCCTGCTTAGCAGAGGAGAACAGGGGAAGTACGGAGGAAAGAGGGGGAAAAGAAACAGAGTGAGAGAGAAGGAGAAAGCAAGGTGGGAGAGCAGAACTCTGTGAGTGTGAAGTGACAGCAAGAGGATTCATCAAACAAGGGCAAGAATCAGCAACAGGTAAGAAATGTTTTGTTTCTTCAAAACAGCCATAAATCAGTCTCAAAGGAGACAAGCAACATAAATACATACATAATAATCAGAAAATCTGTGGATGCTGGCAAGAAATAGCACATGAATTTAGCCATTAATTTGGTCCTAAAATCTGCATTCTTTAGCCAAGTGTAATTTATTCAATTTAGTTAAAGCTTATGAAAATAATGGCATGATTACTTTGGCTGTTCACTCAGTACTTTCGGGTACTTGTGCACCAACTAGGGCTCAATTAACACCTCTGAGTGCAGTGCTAAAACAGGTAGACACTCTCTTACAAGCTTTGTGTTCTCAGTTTGAATACTTCTTAGATGTTTAGAAGTTTATATATATGTATAATATATGTGTGTGTGTGTGTGTGTGTCTGTGTGTGTGTGTGTGTGTGTGTTTTACACATATATAATAAAATTATACCAATAATCAAATTAATCAAATAAAAAATTTATCAAATATAGATTAATAAATTAATCAAACAATATTGAAACAATTAATTATTATTAAACTAATTATAGTAATAATATAAATATAAATATAATAAAAATAATAATCAAATAAAAAAGGATAATAAAAACAAAATCGCCAACTATGCATTGTTCACCTGTCCTGTCTGATCTATCAAAGACTTGTTGTTAGTGTGTACATTTTAAGACATACGAAACCAGTTGAAAACAAAATGATAAAAATACCCAACAGTGCAGATTCCATTAGCATCTCTTACATTCATCAAACTTAATCATCTTGCACCTGATATGTCAGGAGAAGCTTTCTCATTGATTTTCTGCTACATTTTTATTAATCATATCAACTGCCTAGGTAGCAGACCTGTAATGTTTCTGGTCTGATCCATTTCTAGGCAAAACCATTATTCTCTTGGTTCAGAAATAATACATCCCAGAGACCTTTTTTTGTCTTGTTCGACCTCTAACCAAATCTAAAACTCAACAGTTCCCTCCTTTTGAGCCTTGCCAGCACGGACTCATTGCATGTTTTTGTTATTATGCATTTGTCTTATGCCTAGTAATGACCTAAATCTCCTTATATGGTCACAAATATTATTTAGCTTTGTTAATCAACATTTCTGAATAAATCAAAGCCCAGATAGGATCACAATCTCATTTGCACCCCACCTAAAGCAGGCATGCAGAAGAGAACTAAACAAATCGACATTTTCCCAGGTTTCCTTTCTCTCACGGCCTGAGCCCTGCTGCCTGCTCTCCATGACCATGCGGCTGACACCCAGCCTGGCACTTTCAGCCAAACATCTGATTGTGATCATCCATCAGACTCGCTGCACTGCTCCTTGTTTTGTGCCTGTTTGTGAGTCTCTGCATAGGATGCATAAAATATCTAATTTCTCAAGTGAAATGATTCGTCTAGGCTAAACAATGGAGTTGAACAGGGATGTTTTTAGGGCCTGGCCCATCTAATCAAATCAAACCTAATATTAGACAATCGTAACCCAGTGTAAACAAGCATCACAGTGTTTACATATTTTAGACACGTTTTAACCCACTAGCTTTATCTGCTTAATATAATTTCACTCATTTTTACCATCAAGTTTCAAGCACAACGTTTTTCACAAGCACAGTATAAAAGAGTGATCAAAGGAAATTCCTGATGTGAGCTCAGAGCAGAAAAAAAAAGATGTTGAAATTTATCTGTCTGTTTATTTTACAAAGTTTATTTTATGGTTCAGTGGAAATATCTTACCATAGTAAGAACAATAATCTTCAACTTGAGATCACTTCCCAGCAGTCAACCTGCCAAAATATTTCTAAGAGTGGTTTAAAATCATTTATGAAATTATGAGGACCCTGAAGAAAAAAAAAAACATGAATTCTGCTTTGTAGAAGAACATTCCTAAAGAGAACATATGGGCACTTCTCTAAAAATGAAAGCTGAAGCACAGTTAGGTAATCAAGAAAAGCCACAAAAAAAAACTAAATTAAAATGTTTTGTCTAGTCAAAGTTCAGATATAAGACCCAAAGAGATGTGGCATAAAATCGTAAAATATAAAAGTTCTAGCTTTAAAACCTTTTTATGGGAAAGTTAAAGTCCAACAAAGACTGATACTGAATTATTGAAGCTTTTGTAGCAGTCATTGTTATTACATAGGAGTTAAGAAGCAGATAAAGAATCCTCAGTGAGACTGTTTGGCCTAATGAGAGGCATTATTAATATAATGAGTTTTGAAATATGAGTTATATAAATTAAAAAGTATAAAATAAAATGTTTTTCATATCTGAAAAAAAATCTAGTTACATGGCTCATTTTTATACTTTGTACTGCCTGCAAAGTAACTTAATTATATATATATATATATATTTAAAAAAAACATTTATTAATCCTCTGAGAAATTATGTAATGTTTTCAGTGTTCCACCAATCAGCAATTCAAAGGTGGTATTTGTTAAGCAAAACTGACACAGAGGTGCAGATAGCATGCTAACACTGCAATTGTTCCAGCCATTGGTTTCCTCTAAGCTCCCCTGGGTGTCCAGCCTGGTTCCCTCATTAAGACTCACTCTTTCCTAGGTCTTACATTGCACAATAGAGTCTTTATCGGAGCCCTGTGCAGATAAACCTGTAAATCCAGAGCTGCTTTTTTTTCAGAGTCTGTAGAAGTCATAATAATCCAGCCAAATTGGAAGAGTACATGACAAAGATGACAGCAAAAATTACTTCAGAGTCTGTAGGTCTGTCATGCCAGACCTTGATCAAGGGTCTCCATAGCAAAGAAAAACCACAAAAGATGTCTCTTCTTTAAGTTTCTGTTTCTTTATTTAAAAAAGAGCCCAAAGAATCCCAGAAACATCACACATGTTTCCTGTAGAACTTTAAGAGATATCACAAATGTCTCAAACTGTGCTCCTGATTTTTCAAGACACCAAAGTCTGTAATCAAATGAAGTCAGAGATGTCAATATGACTTCTTATTTATTATTAAATTCTTCCAAAATCAAATTAACGCCTACATAAAATGATAGTGCTCTTATTTAGCTATTTGTAATTACACTGTAAAATCCAATAAATTTTCAATACAACTGAAATATTTGAGAGAACATCACATAAGCTGACTTCATAATCAATTGATGTTGATTTTCCTAAAATGTGTGTTTGTTTGTTTTAACCATTATAGTGATTAGCATTCCCTTTGGTTGGGCACTTGGAACTTCGTTTATGTTATTATAATTTTCTTCTTGTTAATGCAGCAATGCATCATGAAGTCAGAGTTATTTGATTTCAAGAGAAGGAAAGTAATAACTGCCGCAATGCACTCTGGGAGTCAGTGAGTAGCTATATTAAGTCATGAGTAAACCTAAATGAAAGGAGCAAGTACCCCCTATGTTCTTTTTTAGTTACTAGAACTCTTGTGTAAGTAAACTATACTAACTAAGCATTTGTCAGTACAACATACTATTCCTATTTCACTTTACTTCGTTTTTTCAAGGCAATCGGTTTGCATGCTTTTTTTAAGTAAGCCCAACTAATTAGATTTTACAGTGTAGTACATTTTCAATGTTTTAATTATTTAAATGAACTGACTTTTAATTACTATTATCTTGTGATCTTAAGTTGGCAAGAAATGACAAGAGTTAAATGCTAATTTAACAAATCCTTATTTGTGAAAGAACTGATATTACTGCCCAAATCAGCACAGGATAAAGCAAAATGACAATGTTTTCTTGCTGCTTCTCTGTTCAGGACCATGAAAGCTGGGCTTGCATACTGCTCTCTTCTTGTCCTTCTTCTGATGACGGATGTCTGTGGCCAGCGAAGACCAAAACCAAAGCCTGTCCGTCCGCCTACCACTAGGAAACCTCCTGCTCCCAAGAAACCGTCTTCTCCTGCCCCAAAGTCTGAGCCCGAGCCCCAGGAACCCACAGACTTTCCCCCTCCGATCCTAGGCCCTCCCTCTGAATTCCCAGACTGCCCCAGAGAGTGTTTCTGCCCACCATCTTACCCAAATGCTCTGTACTGTGAAAACCGCAACATCCGGAAGGTCCCGGTCATCCCGTTCCGTACCCACTACCTGTACCTACAGAATAACTACATTGACCAAGTAACCGCAGACTCTTTCAAAAACTGCACTGAGCTTAAGTGGATAAATCTGGGAAACAACCGTATCCGTTCAGTGGAGAAACAAGTCTTTGAGAAGCTGCCAAACCTCCTTTACCTTTATATGCAGAGGAACGAGCTAAAGGAGGTGCCTGATGACTTGCCGGCTGGTCTGGAGCAGCTTAGACTCAGCCGCAACCAAATATCAAAGGTCCCACCTGGAGCGTTCAGCAAGATGGAACATCTCGCACTTCTGGATCTGCATCACAACAGGATCAGTGACAGCAGCTTGGGCAAGAACAACTTCAAAGATCTGAAGAACTTGATTCAGCTCAACCTGGCCCACAACATCCTCAGGAAGATGCCTGCGAATATACCAAAGGGCCTCTTCCAACTGTTCTTGGACAGAAATAACATTGAGGAGATTCCACAGGGCTACTTCAAGGATTTCACAAACCTGGCCTTTGTGAGACTTAACTACAACCAGCTTAATGACAAAGGTCTTCCAAAGTTGGTGTTCAACGTGAGCTCACTGTTGGATTTGCATTTGTCCCATAACATGCTGAGCACTATTCCCCTGTTCAACCACGAGCTGGAGCAACTTCATCTTAACAACAACAGCATTGAGAGTATGTACTTCAATTCAATTTGTTATTGTGCCACAGAACAACATCTCCAAAATAACACATTTACTTGTCTTTGCAGGTGTTAACGGCACTGAGATCTGTCCCTCTAACTCTCTCAACATGCATGATGAGAACGGAGCACCCAAACTGAGATACCTGCGTCTGGACGGCAATCACTTGAGTCCTCCCGTCCCCTCAGATGTCATCATGTGCTTCAGACACCTTCATGCTATAGTAATATAAGATGGTTTGAGTGATGAACAGATTGATGCATGCCTGTGCACAGCCAGGCCTTCCTGTCTACTTGACAGTACTGATTGAATCAAACAGTACTGGAGAAAACAAGTAAAGAATGCATTTTTAAACAATGCATTTTTTCCCTTTATTTTCAGGAATGTTTCATTGTGTAACCTAAAAACCTTCAATGCATCATATTTATTGAATTTCCTGCCTTGAATACAACTGAGCATGAGTATTCTGCATTAAACGTTTCTATGTGATTATACAGAACAGAAGCAGCAGCGATGGCTGAGTGGAATTAATTAAACCCTAAAAATAAAGGTACATTAACGGACGTACTGTGCAACAGACAACAAGCGTAGTTACAATTAAGGAGTATAGGGGTAGACTAAGATACGATGAAGCAAAATGATAAATGAGGGAATAATGTAACTACTGTGTAGTTGAAAATGCCCTTAATGTGCCTGTGTTTTTAATTTAATGTGTATAGTCCTGCCTTTATCTTGTGTCAGTATTTCTATATAAATAAATGTGGAAAAATAATGCTCTATTTCAACATACTTGTTTTTAAAAGTCATATGTAGAATTCGCCTGCTATATTCCACGCTTCACATAGCATAACATATTATAACAATAAAACTAGACAACAAGCAGATTTAGTGTATAATTTACTATACACACTTAAAATTAAACGTTCTATAGGTTTTCGCAAAGATGCCATAGAAAAAGCATTTTGGGTTCTTTAAAAGAATCATTCACTAAAGTAACACTTTAGTTTAGGGATCGATTCTCACTATTAATAGTTGCTTATTAGCATGCATATTACTAGCATATTGGCTGTTTATTAGTAGTTATAAAGCACATATTCTGCATGACCATATTCTACATCCCTATAGGGCTGGGCAATATATCGAGTCCCGAGCTGCTGCACGGAAACTGCATAATCCAGTTTGTCCTAAACATGAGACATGCTTATATTAAGGGCTTTAAAATAACTAAATAATAAATAATAAAGTAAGATATAATTAACATGTATGGTTGAAAGCAGCTTGTCCCATCAGATGTGCTGTTTTCCTCAATGCATAACTTACACTTACAGGTATATTCTCCATCTGTAAATGTTAGAATGTCATGGAAATATTGATGTTTTGCTGTCAAAAGCCTTCTGCATGCGATTCTCCATAACTTCACAGACTTCATTGAACAGACTGAGCACAAAATAGAAGCGCAAAAATTGTGACTTAAAACTACTTCAGTCTGTGTGCATTGAATGTATTTAATACACGAGTTTCACAATTTGAGTTGAATTACTGAAATAAATGAACTTTTCCACGACATTCTAATTTATTGAGATGCACCTGTAGAATTTAAAACCTACAAGTGTATTTTATGATAGCAGATAAACGTAAAGGGTAATCAAAATATAATGCAATTAATCTGTGCTCGTGTTTATTTACTTTCATTTGTATTTTAGTGAATTGAATTTCTTTTAAAAAGCATTATTTTTTTGTTTTTATGTAATGTTAAAATGTTCGAATGTAATGTGATTTTAGCCTCTTTTTTGCACATAATGGATTGTATAGCCTACTTTCACTATATATGTTTTCATTGCCTTCAGTATAAACATTGTTTCATTGGACAACATTGTGCAGGCTGTATAAATAAATAAATTAAAAATAAATAAATACATATTTTTTTATATACCGTATATCGCATTTCAGTCAAAAAAAAACAAGATATGATTTTTGGCCATATTGCCCAGCCCTAATCCTACCCAATACCTAAACTTAACAACTGCCTTATAAGCAGTAATTAGGAGTTTATTGAGGCAAAAGTCTTAGTCTTAATAATTAGTTAATAGTGAGAACTGGACCTTAAAATAAAGAGTGACCAAATAACCACTTTTTTTCTTACACAAACTTTTCCTAAGCCAAATTTACATGGCAAATTTTTCTTTTATGATTATAGTGACATCTTGTGGGAACTTTGTACATTATATTAAGTGATGCAATTTATATTGAGTTCTCTAAATGCTTTATGCTATATGCAAAATAACTGATATATACACAAAAGAGTTGTACCACTGTAATCATGTTTCAGATTCCCACACATAACTGATGAGTGACATAATGCAACAGTACAACCAGGGACTTTTTATCCAGTAATATCCAGTGATGATAAATTCTTAGTGTTTTAGTTCTCTTCCTGCTCACTAACTGCAAATGAATTTAGCATTTCAACATCTTTAACATTTTAAACAATTAATCAAACAAGTATTTCATGTAATTGGTTTCCTTACTGGGCAAAGAAGTCTTTCCACACACAGCTACCTGTATTGCACTATTTCAGGTTTGATTGGCAATCATTCAGAGCAACCGATGTTAGGAAGGACAAAAATAAAACAAACTGCCTGCAGCATAAGGAAACAGAGCAAGAAAGGTCTGAACTTATTTCCTGTCAATGGAGCCCAACAGCAGAAGAAATAGCGTTCTACTGGACCACATGCTTTCAAAAGTCAAGCAATGCTGGTCAGTTGATTATGAAATAGCCAGTAAACAAAAATTGTCACATAACACACTAATATCGGGAAGAAATTTGTTGTCCCGTTTAGAAAAAAAATGAATACAAATGAACTAAATGTCAATTATGAAAACAATTTTTGGTCACTAGAGGAAATTTGATTTACGTAACTGTTCATGTGAGCTTAATTGAAAAGGAAACTTAAGACTTTTCAGTCAGTCTTTATCAGATGAAATACACACATGCAATGATGTAGAGATATTGGCAAATCTAGTAAACTAAACGTTCTAGGTTCTAATTTCGGAAGTGATATGAATTGGGACAGTTATCACTTGACAGAGCCCCTTATCCCCAAGAAGGCCCCTGCGGGACTGTCCCTGTGGTAAGTGCAGTAATCTGCCTTTTAAATAAAGGCTGCTAAATAAAGAATAACCAAATAATGAGTAAAAGCAGTATGCAGTCTTTCTTTCTCATTATTATTTAATAAAGATTATTGTTAAAATGTAAATACACAAATAATTTCTTTATAAAAAATAACCTATTTCAGTACTTATCAATTCCCAATACTTATTCATGCCCAACTATATAATATTTACTGTTCAATAGTAGGGTCAGTAAAATATACTAGAAGGATGAAGGATGCTTTAAATTGACCAAAAGTGACAGTAAAGACTTTTACATTGTTACAAAAAACGTTCTATTCCTCAAAAAAAAAAAAAAAAATTTCCACAAAAATATTAAGTACAACTGTTTTCATAATTTATGGTAACTAGAAATACTGTGCATCAAATCAGCATTTTAGAATGATTTCTGAAGGATCATGTGACACTGAATACTGGAGTAATGGCTTCTGAAAATTTAGCTTTGCCATCACAAAAATTAATAATACCTCACAATATTACTGGATTTTTGATCAAATAAAGCATTGGTAAGCATAAGAGACATCTTTCAAAAATAAAAAATAATTTCACCCCAAAATTTTAACGGTAGTGTACTATAATATATATATATATATATTTGCACAACTACACAGTATAACATGCCACTACAGGTATAGTAAGATTATGTACGTGCCAATTCCCAAAGTGATGAATTAATAATCTTGCAAAGACAGGCACTTCCTCTTACTGTAATGGGAGGTAGAAGAGAATCAAGGAATACCTGTCGAAATTCCCCTCCTGTCCCACTATAAGAGCACCTACCATCACCATACAGAGGTGCACTTCATTCTATGAAGAAAAACACTCCCTGGACCTCACCGGGTAATAATACATAATGTACAGCATATTTATTTAATCCTATATGACAATGATATAGCACATACATTATTACATTTATGTAGCACATACTGTATATACTTATGTTTGACTGTCTTTTCTTTTTATCCCAGGCTGAACTGTCAGAATAATAATGAAGGACTTGTTTATCATATATAGCATGCTTGTATGCACCATGCTGTGTGGTCTATGGGACACAGCCCAGGGTCGGAGGCTTCACTTGGGCAGCTGTAAAGTGAACATTCACACGCATGAACTCAGGCACCACTTCCAGCACATCCGTCAAAGCATGGTGAGCACATTTACAGTCTAGCCTTATTCATGTATTAGTCTCAGCATTTCCTTCTGTTAAAACAGCTGCTGGTGGCTTGATGTATGCTAAACATGTATAAATGCGCCAAGTCCATTTCCCGCCATAACAATGACATCATTGGTGATGTCAATGGGCTTTCTTGACAGGCTTGACATGTCAACCAACAGGTTATTGGTTTTAAGTTGTTCTTGCACTCTGCATGTCAATCAAAAGAACAACAATGACTTTTAAGCATGACAAAGCAAAAAATAGCAAAAGGAATACTTCAGTCAACCCCTGGAAACTCCTGCCAATGTCTTCAGCTCTTTGTCAGTCTGACGAATCATATCCCTTGCAAAAACAGAGCAGAAAATTCCCATGTAAACATTGCCATTTTTAAGGTGGCCTTATTTGATTGTGTCTGTGGTTTGAGGTTATGTAGTGATTACAACGGTAATGCAATCTGATAATATCTTGTGTTTTGACAGATTTCAGGAGATGATCACAAGGCAATCCGATTACTTAGAAAAGACGTGATGAACAGTATACAGGTAACATTTTTTGATTCTTTTTTTGTAGGGCCTGTAGCTTCATAACCTTTGTAGAATCAACTGATCAATATCAGTATACCATATATTACTGTCAAAAAAATCAGTGATTTATTTGTCTTCCTCATTATTAGGCTACAGAAAGCTGCTGTTTCCTCAGGCAGCTCCTTCACTTCTACATGGATAAGGTCTTTATCAACTACAGCAGCAGTCATTCCCTACATCGCAGAACCACCAGCGTACTGGCCAACTCCTTCCTCAGTATCACCAAGGACCTGCGAGTGTGTGTATGTAACACTGCTCTAGTTAAAGAACGTTTTTCAAACTGTTGCAACCGTAAGACTGGAAAAAAATTGGAAAAGTCCCGCACACTGTCGTAACTCGCAAATCTTTTTACAGAGGTCAAGGTCAAAGACCTTCCTTTGGCATTTGAATGGCATCAGACTAAAAACTAAAACAAAAATTTCTTCCGCTACAATATTTGGGACTTTTCCATTTGACCAACTATGACCTACAAACCTGTCTGCGAAAAAATGCATGTGCAAGCTGCGATTATCTATATAGCAATAAGCAACTGTAAATGAAATCAAGCTCTGTGTATTTTAGAATATTGGTGGAGGATTAGGGGCAGGTGTAAGCACAGCAATAGAGATAGAGAGATGTTGCTGGAAAGCTTTTAGCAGACTAATCTAATCATGTCACTGTGTGTCTATCCAAAAGCATGCTAATGCACACTGTGAGTGCAGTGAAGATGCCAAACAAAAACTCTCAGGAATTCAAACCATGTATGACCAGGTAAGAGACATAATTTACTGACAGGACAACTAATAACTAGACCTGCCAATACGGATATTTTCTTAAATCTTTTATTTGATCTGACAATACTACAAAA